TATTTGAGAACCCTCCACAGGGCTCCATTCAGTGTGTTAAGTTGCAGGAATAAAATCTGACCTCTGAGCCTCCTGTAAGAGTGTTTGAGTTTATTTCTTTAATGAAGCCTCCTGTTGAACATTATCCACATGTATACTTCTAGAGTACCAAGGCTTGTAAGATTTGTTATTATTAAGGTCCTGTTGTGCCAGCGTAGATCTGTAGAAAGTGTTATGTCCACACCCCAGTGTGGTGTTATGTTGGACACTCAGATGATTCCATGACGGGAGATGGATATTCAGAGACTGAAAGGCTTTGGGGTCTCTTTAGGGGAAATTCAGGCTCACCTGAGCACCCATCACCCTAAAGATGCTGCTGTAATGCTATTAGTAGTATGTTCACCTTTGGCTAGAGTTCCTCTAATATCTTTAAAATTGCATTGCATAAAACATTGGTACCATCAGTAAGTCTAATAGCATCTGTTTAACTGGAATCCGCTTTGTTCCTTTTTTTTTAAGTCATAAGTCGTAGTGGATGGTTGTTGTCATAATTCATTTTGCAGGTGATGTCTTTCCAGTCCAGACTAGTCTCTGGCAAGGTGTTCGCTGACGCTTTTCATTACTACTAGATGCTGTAAGGATGTCCCCAATTTCCTGGAGTTCTTTTCTGAAACATGCCCTTTATCCCAACGCTGGGCATATTTCAGTACTTTTAAACTATTTCTATCTCAGATGTACCGGCAGTGAGAATTTGAACATACTTATTTTAAGTCCAGTAGCCCAAGAAAGTTACTTTTTTCAATTAAAAATTTGTATGGCTGTTTTAAATGAGCTAACCATACAACACTGTAATTTGGGGTATAGGTCCACATCTCCTTAGATCTGTGTTACTTCATCCCACCCATCACCAAAGTGTCTCTGGTCTCCCACCATAGTCCACTGGGGTCCCGCACAACTTCCTTCTCCCCCATCTGGGAGCCTTAGTTTTACATTCAAATTTCAGACCTTTTTTATTTATTTCTTTGGCTTAGTTTTGTCTGTTCCTTTGTTTTGTTTCTTTATATTCCAGATGGGAATAAAATCACCTGGTACTTATCTTTCTGCTTGTAAATTATTTCCCTTAGCACAATTTCCTCAAGTTCATCTGTGTTGTCACAAATGGCAAGAGCTCACCTTTTTCATAGCCGAGTAATATTCCACCACCTGCCCTTCTCTTCACCTCATCCCACTCATCTTTTCTTGGGCGGTTAGGTTGTCCCCATAATGTGGCTTTGTAAATAATGCTGCAGTGTGCACAGTAGAGCAAACTCCCTTCAAATTACTGTCTGTGCATTCTTTGGGCAGAAACCTAGGAATGAGATTCCTACATCCCATGTCTGATCTATTTTTAATGTTTGAGAACCCTCCACACCAGCAGTGTAACAGGGCTCCTTTTTCTCCACAGCCTCCCATAAACGCTTTGTTTCTGGTCTTCTCCATAAGGGCCATTCTCAACAGGAGTGAGGTAGCCTCGCATTGGGGTTTTGACTTGCATTTCCCGAATGATCGTCGATGACGGGCATTTTCATGTGGCGCTGGCCTCTAAGTCTGCTTTGGAGAAATGCCTGCTGAGGTCTGCCCAGGTTTTGGTCGGGTCATGTGTTTTCTTCCCACTAAATTGTATGGGTTCTTTGTAGGGCTTAGCCACTAGCCCTGTGTTGCTTACACGATGTGCAAACTCTTTCTCCCATTCGGCAAGGTGCCTTTCCATGTTAACGATCATTCTTTTCAAGGCACAAAAACATTTCCATTTGATTTTGATCCATTTGTTTTTGCTTTTGTTTCCCTTGCTACAAAGAGACTCGATTCAAATAATGGAGCGCTACGAGACTGTGCTTGGATTGCATTACACTGGCACCCAGAAGCTGCGTTCCAATCCTTTGGCTTTTGCCAGGATCTTAGCTTAGTCTTTCTGCTGTGTCATGCAGCCGTCTTCCTTAAACATTTTCCTCGTTTCGTCTTCATCTAACGTACCGGTACCTGCAATTGCTCTTCTTTAGTGTTTTCTTGTCCTTCTCGGTATACCTAGTAGAACTAAGACACTGTACCTTTGTGAAATGCTTTGCATCACCTTCCCAAAGCGCAGCGCCGTAGCTAGAAGATAGGTGTTCACAAAATACCTTGTGACGTCTTTAAAATAAGCTAAAAAAAAACCATATTTACACCTGTTACCTGTTTGTTTGTTCCCTTTTTGTTTGAGGGAAATGTGAGTGGATTTAACATCATTCCCTATCAGAACATCGTTAAAGAGGACGCAGAGAACTCGTCTGTTTTCCTTAGTAAAAGGAAAAATGGTTTATTCCTCTGGACCCTTCATTCTTACTTATGTTGCTCTGCTCCTGGACTCTGACTGGTGGTGGCTAAATCACACTGTGTAGTTCGTGATATTGGCCAACATTGCAATTTTTTTTTTTTGTAAAGGTCAAAGGTGACTGCCTGTGTGCATCCCCATGGCTCAGCTCCACCGCCTGTCAGTCTGGCATTCACTTGGGGCCATCTTTGACAAATAACACACACTCCCCAACTACCCCCTGACTTTTCCTGATGAACTGTGATAGCGGAAAGAACACCCACATCTGCCAGTCAGAAAGGTCTGGTCAGTGTTACCTGTGGTCACAAGAAGCAAAATATTCGCCAATCACTTTAGGAAGTCTGAGTAATACAAAGCATTCATCATGTGGTTCATTTAGGAGATGGTATAAAAGTGAAGGGTTAAGAGGTAAACTCTGATTGCACCACGATAGCTGTGTGACCTGAGCAGAGTCCTTATCCTTCCTGTGCTTTATTTTCCTCTTTGGTAAGCTGAACAGAGCTCCATCATCGCGTGATAATTAAAATTGCAAGTGTATGTAGGCTCTGGATGTCTTGACTTTGATTATGTCCACTTCCATTGGTTTTTATCAAACTTTTCATGCTGTGAAATCAGATACATTTCCATGTTGTCAGAGTTTGTTCACTGTGACGAGCCTAAGCAAAGACAGTGTATAAACCTAACAGAGATGGCAAAGAATGATACCATTTTGTATCATCTGCTTCGTCAGAACCTGTGTTCACACAGCAGTGCTGAAATGAGAAAGATCTGTGTTGTCAGAGTTGACTCAAACTGAAAGTGTGGCCTTGTTCACAGCAGAATAATTTCCTGTACAAATACTCGTCTTTTTTTTTTTTTTTTTAAGATTTATTTATTTGTGCAAACAGCTCTGGGGTATAAGCCAGAGGTGCAGGGGCAGTGAGAGGTTTCACCAGAGACAGAGTGGGGAATAGAATAGGCAGATGGATGAAGTACACTGCTGAGGGGAGCAGCGGGCGGGTCAGGAGAGGTCTGCTGCACCATGTGGGTCACCTCCAGGGCCGGGGATCAAATTCACACTAAAGCAGCAGCGGCCAGCTTGCAGTGCTACATCCTAACACGTGAAAATGTAAAGTTGCTTTCCAGTTTTTGAATAAGAAAATAGAAAGGCATAGTTCAAGATCTAGAGTCAACAGATCTGGAAGGAACAGCAATCCATCAGTGTAGGTTTACGACTGCATTTTCATACCGTTTCAATAAAGCCCATGTGTTTGGGGGGAAGCGCCCCTTCTCGGGGCTGGCTGTGAGGGTGGATGAATTCCAGGTTGGCTTGACATGGTGCAGAGCGTGCCAGTTTCTCACAGAGGACACTGACGACTCTGAGAACCCTTCTGGATTCCTTTTCAGTGCGTGTTGTCATTGCTAATTTAGGGTATTCTTTTTCCATCTGGGGTTTTCCATCAGTTCATGGTGCCCACGAGGGTGCTGGGGGCAATGAGGTGGAGTTGGGGGCTGTGCTTGGGGTGCAGCTGAATCCAGGAAGGTACTGCAGGGGCTGGAGGTTGGGGGGCCCTGGAGCCAGGTGAGTGCGCCCTTTGTTGACCTGAGAGGGCCTCCTGGGGTTCGGTGAGAGGTTCTGCACTAGATCAGGAGAAAATCTGATGGACATGAGAACAAAGGGAGAGCGTGCACCCCAATGTCTGAGGGAGGAGACAGTTTTAATTTGCTGAAGGCAAATGCTTTATTGCACCGACCTCTGCATGCAGCAGGGTCTAACCTGCTACTCGGTACGTCGCTAAATGAAGGAATAAATGAATGATCTTGGTCCCTGTACGTTTATAAGTAGGCTCTGGCCTGATGCTGCCTCAGATCCCTCCTGAACATCCCATTGTGTCACCAACTGCGGGGATTTAAAAAAGTGGGGAGGCGTGTGTATTCTTCTTGTCTCAAAGATAGTTTGGTTTTTTAATAACGGCCTCTGGCTCAGATGATTACTTAATTTAACAATGGATGGTTGTTTAACACTCACCAGTTTTATTGATTTCTTGAGAAATTCATCACCCTGAGATATACTATTTTTTTATCAACGAATAATTCAATAATTATATCAGTATCCTCGTCAACATCTGTACAGTGGCAGAATAAGCTGATGAATAGGATATTTTTGTTTTTTTTCCTTTAAAGTTTTATTTATTGATGCATATAAGAACTGCGGGGCAGGCCAGAAGTGGGGGGCTGCGAGAAGATTCACTAGAGACAGAGTGGGGAGCAGAACAGGTGGAGCTACTGAAACACACTGCTGAGGGGAGCAGCGGGCAGGACAGGAGAGGTCTGCCGTGCCATGTGGGTCAGCTCCCTGGCTGGGATTGAACTCAGGCTGCAGTGGCTGGTGATAGCTTGGTAGTGCTGAGACGTTAGCCCCTATGCCACCAGGGAGGCCCTCATAGGAAATCTTTATAATGAATTAATGAAGTTCAGATATTTAACTTGGGCCCTGTATTAGGAGGACAGCAGAGCGAGCCGGCTGCTTCTGGTGCTGTCTGTCTGTCCAGGGCTGCCCTGCTGAGCCATTGCCCAGGCGGGGCCCAGAGCCACTGCTGGCCAGGCAGGGGCCCACTGCCTGGGGTGGGATGGGGTGAGCCTTCATCCGGGCTTTGATGCTTTTCTGACCAGCTGCTTCCTACACTTTCAGGTGAGCGCCCCTATCAGTGTCCTTACTGTGAAAAAGGCTTCAGCAAAAACGACGGATTGAAGATGCACATTCGTACTCACACCAGGGTAAGAATTTGTGCTGTGTTTGGATGGACTGAAAACCACGCTTGCTTTTGTTAAGGTATCTGACTTTACATGTACCTGAAATTCTACACTTCACATGAACCATTGGGGATACAATTAGAACCTGGACGAGAAAATGAAAGACACAGAAATCCAGACCTGGACAGGGGCTCGTTCTTGGCATTGAGAATTGGTTTTCAGGAGTAGTGGGGGTTACCAGGGACAGGTCGCCCATGGGTGGTGAATGCTTTAACTCTCATAAAATCCCGAGGCACCGTCTTGTAGAGGATTACCCAGGAGCGGGAGCGCTCTTGAATCGAGGTGAGTCTGTCTGCATGGCAGCTGGTGTGTATGCAAGAAAGACATTGACAGTCAGGTGGAGAACGGAAGGGAGGGAGGTGTGAGGCTGCAGGCTGGTCAGGAGCAGGCTGGTCACTGTGCATTTGCACTATCGCAGCTGATGTCAGTAGCTCCTGTTGATTCTGTCTGTCCATCCCTTTACCTCAGCAGGGCTTTCACATGCTTGCTTTATCCTGTGGCCTTCTAGACGTGCTAAGGTCTTTGTCTAAATAATATGTTTTTGTAAATTGTTTTTTAAAGATTTATTTGTGCATACAGAACTGGGGTACAGGCCAGAGGTGCAGGGGCAGTGAGAGGCTTCACCAGAGACAGAG